ATACAGATGTATATATACAGTTCAGTCAGTCAGCAGCTATTTTCAACAAACAAATTTCTCATATGCTGCTATAAAATAATAAAAATGGCAACTGAGGACTACTTTACTATTTTTGTGACTGGTTGTTTTGCCTTATTTGATGTTTGTTTCCATCGTGACGCATGGGTTCCCTCTTATGTCATACTCTTACATTTAGATAAATCAAGCGTAGCATTAGTTCTGGTAGGTCACATTAGTCAAGCTTGCATCAGCTGACTCTCAGCTGATCCCCATCTACCTATAGGAATATGACACCTATCTAAGCATTCATATATAAGGTTCCTCAGTATTATCATCAGTTTTCGCATTGCTCAATAGCTAATTACCCTCCTCCATCCCCAGCTCCTCCTCTGTCAGTCAGGATTCATTCTTCTGATTATCCTTTGAATCAGACAAATTTTAAAATGTGGCTAGGCTAGGCTGCATGGATGCGCAGGGAGTTCTTGCCCAGAACAGAACCATACCGCCAGTCCAAACTGTATGCTAATTGTCAATCATCTTTGACGATAGTGGTCCTGACAGAAATAAATGGAATGAAAGATATAGAATCTGCTGCATGCTTCTACTTGAGAGCATGATCTTCAAGTCTTTAAGTCGTACTAACAATAAGTGTTGTTATGCTCCTAACCACAGAAGTTTGCATGCATTTGTTGTAACTACAGAATGATTCTAGGAAATATTTAATTGCTGAGCTACAGTAAGTTGGTAAGAACTGTACTTGCGACCATAGTTGAGTGGTTGCTACTTCATTTTTAGAGTGTTGTGGTTGGTTGCAAAATGGATGCTGGTCTTTTGATATGGCTTGGGCCCCTCCTTGTAAGTCTATGGTTATTTTTTAACCTGTTTTATCATTCACCAAGGTGAAAGATGTTTGATTGTAACAATATCCCCTCAACAAGCCACAAAAATTGAGTTATGACTCATATCTGTAGCACAAACGTTGCATGATGAGTTATATATGAAAGTTTATTATGAGGGGTTCGGAGGTCGTTTAAATCCATAATCCTAAAATGACGAATATTAATACTGATGCTTGCAAATACCTTTTACTACAACCTGTGAACCAGCACAAGCTAAAATAATAAAAGGAACCAGCTGGCTGTAAGCTGCAAATATTCTTGTTTCATCTTCTTAATGTTTCCCTGGCCTCTATCTCTCAGATGAGGAATGCACCCCTGATAAGACTCATTTTATCAAGCCCTGACACATTCCTTCACATTTTCATCCCACTCTGTTTCTTTTTTCCCCAAACTCCAAAGCTCTTTTTCTTTCAGCTCGGCTCAGCCCAAATTTTTGAGCAGTTAATGTATTCCCTATCCTCTCTTCAAAGCTCGGTGTCTCTCCCGCCTTGCTCATGTATGTCTCAGGCTATTCCTGCACAAGATTGTGCATCACAGATCTGTCCACCAAGACTGAATAACATGCCATATGTAATCCGTAACTGCTCCCGTGTTTGGCAGGATCATTATCAGGCAGAAACACATTAGGTCCTGTGTCAAACATGCATTAATAAAGTATGTGCCTTGTATGCAAAAACAGCTGAAATTCCAGATATTTGTAGGAAGGTTTCGAACTTTTGCTACACGCAGAAGCGGAAGGTCAGGTGTTTCTGGTATTGAATGTTTCACTTTCTCTGCTGACGGCCTGAATCAGCAGAATTCGTATTTAACGAAAGGCAGACAGAGCGCTAATAATACCCTCATGAGCAGCTCATGTGGCATGCAGTCAGTGAAAAGTGAAGAGTATTTTTTTTACAGTAAAATGAACTGTTATATAAATCCTCACAGTTTGTCTTGTACTGTAATGGAAGCAGAGAAGTACTGTACTTCCGTCTATTCAGGGTAATATTTCCTGTTTGTTGTTCAGAAATACATTAAAGGGAAAGTTCACCCAAAAATGGAAACTGTCATCATTGACTTGCTCTCATGTCACTCCAAACCTGTGTGGCTTTTTTTTGTGGCTTTTTTTTCCCTCTGTGGAACATAAAAGATGATATTTTTTTTTCCACACAAAAAGGAAATCTATAGCTACCAAAATATCTTCTTTTGTGTTCCACAGAAGAAAGAAATCATCCATGTTTGGAATGACATGACAATAATGACAATTTTCATTGATCCCTTTAAATGACTGAGAATAAATTTCCTCGCATCCCATTTTGTTTGTGGTATAAACAATGAATGACAAATGTTACTTTAAAAAGCGATCAGATTGATGATTGGGGATGATAATAAAACTGGTGGAAAATCCGGTCACTTTATTTTAAGGTTCAATTCTCGCCATTAATAAACCATTAATTATGACTTTTGCCTTAATAAACTCCTAATTTTCTGCTTATTAATAGTTAGTAAGGTAGTTATTAAGTTTATTGGGTAGGATTAGGGATGTAGAATATGGTCATGCAGAATATGTGCTTTATACACACTAATAAACAGCCAATATGTTAATAATAGGTATGCAAATAAGCAACTAGTTAATAGTGAGAATTGGTGCCTATAGACTTACATCGATGGAGGGACCTGAGCCATATATAGTGATTTGGGGTGGGCTTTTTAGATGAGGAGAATTAAAGCAACGCTCTTGCATAATTGTGGCAAGTCTTGTTTTGGAAATAACCGCTCATATTCTCTTTAGAATATCTAAAAATCTATGCACGATGTCTGCTGTGTAAAATTTATACTGTTTAAATGATATACAAAACATAAATTACAGTCTGTGAAATTCTCTTGGAACTGTGACCTACACTTATTCTGTCAAAATATGATGTCCCGAGTTTTACAGGAAGTCTCTTTTGTTTAGTCTAGAGTTAAGAATTAGATGTTATATGGTACTGAAGCACTTAATAGTGGTTTATGCATATTTTTTATCCCTATTGTTGTGTTTGAGAACCGAGCGTAACATTTCTAGCCATAGAGAAAGGGTTGTCGCTTTTTTCTTCACTTCTCCCAGCGATCATTCTTTTTCAGCGGTTATATATGAACATATAGAATTTGAGGTATAGCTCTTAATCATATAACATTTGAGATAATGGACTCTGCTATTTTGTGATTTACAAGCAGCTCCAAAATGAACATCCTCCATGTGCCAAAACGAGTAAAAATGTGCTGCTTGGCACAAATATAAAATAGAGCTGCTAGCCTTTAGGCCCAATGTCAGTTTAGAGAAGGATATTCTAACCCACTTTTTATATCGGAAAAATAATGTTTTAAACATTACAATCGCCTAAGGAAATGCTCAGTGACGATCATGCATCTGCTAATAACCTTTACCTCAGTGGAAGAGGTACCATAATAAGATATAGGAAGCCACATGATTTTCATTTAAAATTTCAAGCAGCAACTTAAGCCTCCAAAATAAAATGTACTGAAAAACAAACTTAATGTTTTTTCAATGTTTTATATACCATTTTATTTTACTTTTTTAATAATTATTTGGACAATTACTGTTAAAAGTGTAGTGTGTGCATCTCATAGTATATCAAACCAATAGGCATTTATTTAAAATTACAGATACATATACACACACAAATACACTGTTCAAGCAAAACATTTGAAAAATAAAAAACAAAACCATTATGACACTTTGTGTGTCATGGTCTCCGTCTGTTTAGTTTCTTTGCATTTTGGTTTTCCCTGTTCCCATTTTGCTTGTGTTACTATCATTAGTTTGGGATTAGTTTTCATCTGTCGTTAGTTCCAGTTAATTACCGTTCTCGGCATTTAAGCCCTCTGTTCTCTTTGGTCTGTGTCCGATCCTTTCTATGTTTTATGTGGTTGTGTTTGTGACCTCCAGCGATCTCCTGTGTGTTCATTTGATTAATAAAGACTGTTTCTATTTATTCCTTCATCGTGTGCTCATTACAGCCACTGCTGCTGACACTGTGGTTGTCAAACATTAATTGATTACAGTAACCCATAGTTTACTGTGGGTACTCTGCTAGGACACCTGAGTGAATGAACTTGAGGACAGAAGCTCAAAAGTTAGTTCTCATAAATAAAAACTTTCATAGAAATGCAAAAATACAGTTTTCTGGCTGTTTTCTTGTCTGGAGCAAGTTTTGATCTTGTTTACAGGTGGATAGAGTTGGTTATGTTGAGGTTGGTTTTAGGGTAAGGTATTTTCTTTTCTTTTGTCTGTAGTAGATTATAAGAAACTAAGATGGCAACTAACCAGCATGCTGAGATCTACACAGAGGAAGTCTGAGTCAGGGAAGAATGTGTTTCTACATCTGGACTCAGCATGACAGATACTTGCAGCTTTAGTGCACAAAGCAGGCCTATTATAAGTCTTCAAAGAGATCCTGCCCATCCTGTGCTGAGGGTCTACACCACTCTCTCCTCAGTGCTTCTGCTGTCTGATTCCTGTGGCGTTTGTCTCTGGGGCTCTGAGATCTCGCATTCCTATTTGGCATTCGTGGCAGGCAGACCCACTGTCTGAAAAGTGCAAAGAGGGGGAGTTTTTTTTTTTTTTGAAGGGCTGGGTGCAAAGATGTAGCTGAAGGGATGATATTTGCAGTAATGCTTAAGGATGCAGTTAAATCATAAATCAATTGTCTGGTGTAAATTCTTTTTCAGTCTTTAGAGGAGATAAAGACTAGACCCTTTTAAGTGCCCTACCTCTAAAATGCTGGTGTAAGGCGTGGTGCTTCTAATTCCAATTTTACTGCCAAACAAATTCCATTAAAGATTCTTTTAGTACTTTTGAGAAAGCAGCCACCCTATTACTTTAGCGAAGAAAAATATAAGTCTTGTGAGAAAGAAGTGTGTAAAGGTATTGAATGTTCACTTTTACTGCACAAAAAAAAAAATATTTAAAAAAAGTACTTGCAGATGTAAAATGAATGAAATAAAAGGCCACTTAAGTGTACTTTCATGACTGCTTCTCAACATATTTTAGTAAACTTTTTTTTTAAAGTGAACAAAGAACATTTTATATCATGTGTAATCTTGTCATGCTACAAAAGTACAGATACAAAAGTACACTTTTGTACTTAAATAATTAAATAATTAAAAATAAAGCTAAAGCTCAAGTAATATACTTGAAAGATTATAATTTTAACTGTAAAAAAACAAACTAAAAAAGCAGTAAAAATATAATCTTAAATGAAGTGTGTTATGCAATATTTCATTTAAAGTCAATAGATAAATGTAATGTACTAAATTGCATCTTTACAAATGTGTAATTACAAATATTTTTAAATATATAACATACAAGTTTGTTATAAAACAATACAAAACAGCCATGGATTTGAAAAATTTGTAATTACATTTTTATTTAGCAATTTTGACTTTTTTCACAGAATTTATCTCGCACTTCTAAATGTATATTTTTTCAATTATTTTTTTTCAGCTACAGAATAAAATAAGAAAATTGTAAATGCAACTTTTTATATCACAATTTTGACTATTTTTCTCAAAATTGTTAGTTTATGTCACAAATCGTTCAATTCCGACTTTTTTCAGTGTTTATATCACTTCTGAGTTTATACTGTATATTGCAATTCTGTGTTTGTTTGTTTTTTTATAACAACTGAATAAAAAAATGCAATTGTGACTTTTTATCTCACAATTTTTACCTTTTTCTCAAAGTTTTTGTCACAAATCACACAATTTTTTGAGGTTTTCAGCGTTTATATCTCGCACTTCTGGGAAAAAAAGGCTGGACTGAAATATAAACTCAGAAAAAGTCTGAATTGGAGAGATAAAAAGTTACTTTTTTTTTTTTTTCCTGCAGTGGAAATAAGCTTATAGTACCAGACACATATGTAACAAACACAAGTAACCAAAAGTAACCTTTAACAAAAATGAAAGCCCCAGCACCCATTACAGATGTTAGTACCTGGAACTGCTGGAATAGGCTTCAGCTGAAGGCTGTTTGACATTAATGTGATGTGTTTAGCCTCCTGTGCTAAATGACTGCAAAAGGCCTATGTTTATGTTTCACACAAGAATAATGTCAGCTGTGAGTGTAAATGTGCTGCTGTAAAGCAGGGAAAACCAAACCTGTGTCACGGCTCTCCCAAAGCACTGGAGGACACGGCCTCTGCAGGTTGTCTAATTTGAACACTTGCATGCCACCCTTTCCATCTCTAGTAATATTGTGTTGACAGTGCAGTTCTTGGCAATCCTACAATGATGGCTCTCTGTGACCCCAGATGGCATTAAACACAATCACCATTCATCACCTGCTTGCCTTCCCCAGCAGACAAACGTTTTTAGGTTTTCAGATAATAAGACCAATGTGCTGTTAACTGAGAGAACACATTTCTCTTTATATCGCAGCTATGGATTTAATCCCTCTGCCAACTGGGTGGCAGCGAGTGCCAGGCTGACCATTCAGACTGATTAAACTGCTAATCAAAAGCATTTGAACGTATTAGAAAAAATCAATCTGCTGTGCTCGTTTAGTGTTGTGCGGCTCTATGCAATATGTCTTCTGTTAGATTTCTTCATAAAGACATCTGGTGTGTGGTGGGCATGGCACTAAATCAGATTTTCATTAAGGTTGTCTAGATAAATAGTGGTTCAGACAGCTCATCAACTAGCCTGTTATGAAAATATAAAATTTTGCACATCCCTAATTTAAAGTCATTTTTGGAATGCTACCAGTGTAAAAAAAAAAAAAAATGAATAAAGGATGGTTCACCCAAATGTACTCACTCTCAAGCCATTCAAGATGTAGATGAGTTTGTTTGTTCACAGATTTGTATAAATATAGCATTACATGCAGGGCCGTTTCTAGGCATAGGCGAGCTAGGCGGTCGCCTAGGGCACCACCAGCTGAAGGGGCGCCAATGAGCGCACATACTGGCACTTTTAGCAGGGTTGTGATAAAGAGTGGCATGCTCACCCTGAAATATGACTGCCGCCCCCACTGGATCCCCCAACATTATTGGGCTAGAGTACTGTCAATCTGACGATGCCTGTATGCCACTAGACCAGAGTGCTGTCAATTGCTGCCTGATTGTTGCATGCAAAGTTT